ACCCGACCATCCGCAGTCACCTCAGTGTAAATCAACTCCTGAATCTCATCATCAATCAATCATGGCCTCGTCGGGTTGCCCGCTTATGATCCAGAACCCCTAGTGATCGACATACTGAAAACAAAACTGAAATACTTTAGAAAACCACAATTCATACTACAATATCATATGGAATTTTTATATCTACATGGTTCGTAACTTCCTTTATATGCGTACGGGTCCTATGCTTCCAGTAGTACGGGCCTATACTACTTTCCACACATACCCGTATTTGTCTCAGAGGATCGTCACGACCTCCAACCCAATAGACTCATCAACTAGTCATACACATAAATCCTATACATACTCTCTCAGGAGTGGCTAATTCTTCCTCATACTGGCCTGCTATAATCCATACTCACTAATGAAACTTCCACTAACCATGCAGCTGCTCGTTTATACTAATCATACATAACACCAGATTCGACAGACAATCGAATACCTGATTCTACCCTAAGCCCACAACCAAACAAGGAACAAGAAATAAGGCTAAATAAAACATTCTTAGGCTATAAAATCTTAGTTATATACAACTATATACACTAAGCAATCGCAGTAATAATGTCAGTTCCATAGAGCATAATAAGATATTCTCCTAGGTTATCAGGAATCATACATCATGTAATTCTATCATGAAATTCATGAAGACCCTAGCCTAAAAACTAGCATACAGTTCTATCATAATCATCACAAACAAATAACAGTGTAGGTAACTTGGGGATTACTTCTTGCTCTGGTTGATCGTACACATTGCATCCTTCCTTGGTTACGTTTTAAAATAATTTAAAAAACCTTGGCAGATCCTTAGTTTGAGTTTGGATTCGCACGAATGTTCATCCAATTCACTCAAACCAGGGCTCTAATACCAATTTGTAACATCCCAAAATAAAGGCAATTTTTTTTGTTTTTTAAAACCATTCCAAAATCCATAAGTTTTACAAAACAAGTATCCAAAAGTCACAATCACGAATCAAAGTATCAAAAAATCATAAATCACATAAAAATCTAGGATGATATCCACGATCAAGCCTTTGCCTTGCCCCTGTCTTCTGAAATACCTGAGACCATAAAATCAAACTGTAAGCCAAAACTTAGTGAGTTCCCCCAAGGTACCACACACAACCAAACAGATAACAACATGAATATATGAGCCTTCAGCCTAACTAGACAGCCTCGCAGGGCCTACAACCTATGTAGACCGCTCTCTGGGCCTTATGCCTGACTGGACCGTCTCGCAGGGCCTACATCCTATCCGGACCGCCCCGGGTATCTTGGCCTTCAGCAGAAAATAGGACCGCCTCAACCTAACCGTAATATGTCAACATATGCAACAAATAAACATAAACACATATCCAACAAGTACATGTATTCATACAGATCTACAAATCTATCATATACTCAACATAACATCATCCTATATACTAGGATACATAACCTAGTGGGTCGGCATTGGTGCCTTCGACCCACAAGTAAAGTGAGGAAAACTCACCTCACAGTCTGAAGGATAGCTGAACTAATCACTGCTCCAAATATTGTCTCTATAGGTTACCTATACAATAAATAGAGACCTATTCTCAAACTACTATTCAAATTTCCCAAAATGACCTAAGGTTAAGCTTGGTCAAAGTCAATGGTCAAAAGTCAAAAAGTTAATGGTTAAAAGTCAAAAAGTTAATGGTTAAAAGTCAAAAGTTAAAAGTCAAAATCCCAAATCAGGCTGAGTACGCCCTACGTACTCCATCTCTACGCATGACGTAAAGAGTTCCTTCCCAGATTACGGGAGTGCAACATTGTACATGCTGCGTACCCCCTTGGTACGCCCTGCGTACTTGGCTAGGTCCAACTTTCTTCATTAAGCACTTGTTCCTTTAAGATCTTATGTCCAGAACTTAGATCTAATCCCAAATATCATCCAAAATCATAAAGTTTCCAACTTTATGACTTTGTGTGGCTAGAAGGTGCCTAAAACCAAAACCCTAAGTTATTACACAACCCTAAGCTTCATTTCTCTTGCATGGGTGAAAGGAAACAATCAAGATTGCATTTTTATGATTCTAAACACACATAAACGTCGGAAAATGCTACTCATGAGGTCCGAAGTAGGTCATACTCAACTAGACCAAGAATAAGGGACAAAAATAACATAAAACTAAGGACTAGCAAGACCTAACAAATCATTCACCAAGTTTAGAACTTTATACCTCCTGGAGAATGCTTTAGAGGTGTAAATCCCAGATCTACAATGCTTGAAGCTTTCCATGTAACACTATCAACTTCTTCCTTCAAAATCACCCAAAAACACACTTTTAGCTCACAAGGCACAAATATAGGGTTAAGGTTTCAAAGGAGTCGTTTTGAGAGATGGAGGCTGAAAATGGAAAGGGTTTATGGAGGTTAAGGTATTTAAATAGGGCTCAAAACACCGGATTTAGGGTTTTCACTTCAGCTGAGTATGCCCTGCGTACTACTTATGTACACCCTGCATACTCAAAGGCACCCATGTTACTCTTTAATAACTTACGTCCAACGTACTCCCTATGTACGCTCGACATAAGGACCATTTTTGCAATAATTTAATACTTAAGTTAATAATGGAAATACCTAATTTGGTTGGGTGTTACATGAGCGTTATTGTAGAATGGTTTGATTTGTATGTACTTGAAAACCAAGTACTTCAATAAAATAAATGAATTATTGATGTTGTTATCTTTGTGTGTTTTTACAAGTTTTTACAAGACTATATATAACTTATTGATAAGATTAGGGTTCAAAACACCCCATTCATAATTGGAAATGGAAATTAAATCATTCATGGATTAAATGAAAATATCATAATAATCTAGAATGCATTTTAATCTTATGAATCAACTAATTGATATAGTAATCATAGTAATTTATATCTCTCCTAATAGTCAGAGTTTGAAAACCTAAAGCTTGTAAATCACCTAAGTGTGATTCAATGCTCCAATACTCTAGAACTTTAATGATGAATCTAAAATTCAGGTTTCACTTTAAACCCTGACATGAAAGAGACGGAGGTATATGAGTAAGCTTATACCTTCAAGTATCTCTAATGGAAGAATTAAGGAATACTCTTCAAGTTGTCCTTCAAATTTCACATCAAAACACTTACTTTTATTTAAATCACCATGCGAGTTCCTCTTCCTCTTCTCTCGATCGATCTTAGCTAAATAAGGAGAGTATGGAGCTAACTCACAAGTTTGAGAGTTTTGGCAACTATAGTCCATCCCTTTCATATTCTCTTAACTACGAAATTAGTGGGCCTAGATGTTTTGTCAACATGTTATGTCTTAAATTAAACCCCACTCTTAAAAATCCTTATCATTTTAGTCTCTAGTTCAAGTTATTACAAAATGACTTTAGTTTGGCTAATTGAAAATTTCGACCTTAACTTCCATATATTCAATCTATGGTTTAATTTAGTTCACTTTTTTCATATATATATATATATATATATAATATATATATATATATATATATAGCTTCAAATGTGGATGAAGATCTATTATGCAGACGTGTGGATAATGTTATTATAGTGTTTTTCTGTGAGAATAACTAAGAAAAAAATATGTTGTTTGGTAATGTGAATACGTTCAACCTAACATAATTATTGTCATTATAATGTATTTTTACTAACTAAATCGTCTATAAGGGTATTACAGATTTTTTGTTTAAAGATTTTCATTTTGTCAGAATGTGTTATTGATAATCATATTATGTAAGAATGAAAATGAGTGAAAAAGGATGTGTGAGAACAAAAATGAATAAAAAATAGTAAGAATGCATGATAATGATGATAGTTGTGTGAGGTTGAACATATTCACATTATGAAACAACTTATTCTCTTAGTAATTCTCATAAAATAACATTGTCTACACAATTCCACATAAATGATAATAGTCTTTATTTTTAATCCATTTTAGAAAAAATAAAGAATAAAAATTTCATTTCATATCATTTTATTTAGATAAGAAAATATAAATTTTTGTGTGCAAACTTAAAAAAGCCAATCTTTATAGACCTTTAGTCCATATATTTTCCTGCTTATATGAAAAAAATAACTCCATACATTTTACCACTTCAAAATAATAATAATAATAATAATAATAATAATAATAATAATAATAAAATGACTAGCTAAGAAACGTCATTTTCATTTAAAAATTAAAAGGAAAAGCTGTATTAATAGCAAATAAAGTTCCAATCGCGAGACCATCGTCTTCTTTACTTGGCAACACCTTTTTCCAAAACGCCAAACCATTTTTCACCAACTTCACCACCCCCAAAAAGTTACTTCCAAATAGTTTATAACGACTTCTCAAGCAAAACAACGACATATAGTGGATACCGAGGCTATCAAACACCGATTCTAGAAGTGTATCTTCCACCGATAAGGTTTTAACTTCCAAATTTGAAAGTTTGTTTTGATCGCTTCTTTCCATCCTTCCATTTGCAACATTCATAACCAACTGAAAAAATAATAATAATAAATAAATATCATCTCATCCGGTGACGGAGCCAAGAATATGAACATGTATGTATGGACAGTATGGTACAAGTAACAAAGCTGAAGATACAATATTTTATTAAATGTTCAAAATCAAAAAAATAATACATAAAAAAACAATTATTACTATTATTATTTTTGAGATACTATAACACCGTGTCCCATATAGCTCCACGCCCCCACCATTGCTCTTCTGCTCCCGATCATTTCCAGTTGAGAGGAATTTGATTCATTGAACGGATTTTTCTTAATAATCTGGGTTAACTAATGGCTCCAAATTTAAATAGAATATAACATAGTAACGAAACACCAAAAAACAAACATTTGTCAATTGCTTTCATTATATTTCTACATTGTAATCAAATGTTATGTTGTCCCAACAACAAATCAAGAATGAATATTTATCAATAATGAAATAAAAAAAATTTCAGCTTCAACTTCCAACGTCCTTGTAAACTATTCCCTTGTTATTGCCTTTTCTTCCTGCAGATTCACAATTTGAAGAAATATCAGGAAAAACAATGCATGCTTAAATACTAAAACTAAACCTTCAAACAATAAAAAAAGACAAAATTAATTAAAATAACTTACTTGGTTTATTTTTACTTCTAGAACTGACTATACGAGGAATAAAAACCCCAGTTCCTTTGTTGTTGCTTCTCCATAAGTTCAAAATCGAAGCTGGTACTAAATCACCACCATTGTCGTCATTCCAATAAAAATAATTACCGGTTTGTTTGACTGTGTCATATCTCCGTTTTGTAGTTGATGAACAGCTTGAATATTTCTGTGTGTCGCTCAAAAATTCTGTGTGGTCGTGATCATCAATCAATGTCAATATTCGTCTCTCAAGTTCAGCATAAAAAGCTTCATCACTGGCTTCTTGGGCACTGTTGATTATGTCCATGCTTTTGTGAATTGAACGGATTTGATAATGATGAGGGTTTTGAGATATTTAAATAAATAGGTGTGAAATGGAAGACGGATGATTTGTAGGGTTCAATGTTTCCATATTCAAAAGGGAACGAATGGTCTTCTGGTTTTTCTCCAAATCCTTGACTTTTTTAGCATTCGTGACATGTCTCTTGGCATTATGTATATGTGCATGTATGCCATATTAATATGAGTGAATTATAGAAATGGTTCGTAAAAATCGCAAATTTTGTCAAACCTTTAAAAATTTGATAGTTTGAGTCCTTGTGGTTTAAAAAATTATACTATTGGTCCCTTTTAGCTAACACTGTTAGAAACATCTGTCAAATATATGTAAAATGACCTATCTACCCCTAATTTTTTCTTTTTTTTTATTAATTTGTTATTTTATTATTTTTTGTTATGTTATTGTTTTTATTACTTTTATTAATAATAAATGCAAACCCTACTAGACCACCACCACCACAAAAAACTACCATGCACAAACATCATCTACGCGTTTCTTTCAACCCAACCTCACTTGCCATCCACCACCTAATACTACCACAGTGCCACCGACTACCATCCACCATACTCTCCTCAATCCATCACAACCTATTACAACCACAATCTTTCTTTTTAATGCAAAATCACAAATCAATCAAATTTACCAAATCCATACTAGTTCATGGATAATTTATTTTGATGATAATTGAAGGGAAAAAATACTAGTTTCAAAATAAGAAAAAAAAACAAACATCGATAAATCGACAATGTTCATTAGGGTATGGACATGATCTTTACCTTCATCGTATGTTACTAAATCACAAAAAACTAAATCAAAGATGTTCAAAAATCCATACTAGATGCAAAATAAGAGAAAAACAAACATTGACAATGTTCATTAGGGTACATACATGATCTTTACCTTCATCGCATGTTACTAAATCACAAAAAACTCAATCAACGATGTTCAAAAACCACAAACGAGAAAGCAAAATAAAACTTGAAATTGACTATGGTTAAGACTTTGGAAAGAACAAACCCATAACCACCACATGCATCCATGTGGAAGAAACCAAAGAACAAACCCACAACCACAACTAAAATCACCACCTGCATAAAGGCCGATGAAAACATAAAGAAAATAAATTCGAATAAACAATCAATTTTTCCTAATTAATAATCAAAGAATCAAAGAAGGGATTTGTATGTTGGTTTTGGTTTACTGATTTGATCTCAACTTCTAATCCGAATTTGCAGCATGATTTTGTTCCTAGGGTGTGTAGAAATTAACCGATCCAATTACGAACCGACCTATTGGAATTGATATCTGATTACAGTTAGATTGGATCGGATGCGAAATTTCAAAATCCAATTAGATTGGATCGTTTATTGGATCATCCAAAAATCCAATGGATAACTGAACCGATCCTGTTCAATTTTAGTTCAATTAATATCCAATTATATTATCCAAATCATATAAATGTTATTAATTATTCAATAAAATATAAGTTGAACACTTGAAGTTAATGTTACTTTTTAGTCTTATTTACCATAATTGTGTGTAGTTTTATTTTTAGTTCTCATAGTTATATTTGGTTATTCAATAGAAATAGTTTAAAATTGATCAGATAATGGATAACCAATGGATTAAACCAATCAAATATTCAAATGGTTAAAACTGATCCAATCCAACATCTAATTGGATCGGTGCGGTGCGGTTTTTTATACTAAATTGGATTGGATCGTTGACAAAATTCAATATCTAATGGATGATTGGATTGGATCGGTTCCATCAAAATCCATTGGATTTGAACCAATTAACACCTTTATATGTTCCCCCCCCCCCTCTCCAAAAGGAACGATCTTATCTTCCATGTTCACCATCAAGGTTTGAAAACATATTTTGTTGTTGATCTATTTAAAAGGTGGATGACAGAGAGTAGCAATGAATGAAAAGATTGTAGACTAGATATCGAATGGATATGGTCGAGACGCAACAGTGAGATGAAGGTGTTAAGCAGAGACCGAAGGGATAGGGATCACCGGATATGCAAAACAGTGAGGAAAGGAGGTGCTCATCGGGGGCTTACACGATGTAAGGTGAGGTCGAGGGGAGTTGTTTAGATACAAATAGGTTCTAGATTGAGGATGACACATAAGGCTAGGTCGTTAGAGCATGATGCTACGACAACACATGCGACAACTAATCCATCGGAGAAGAGAAAGGTTGGGATTGAATAATGGAGGCGGTGAGTACGGTGGAAAGATGATTGATTGGTAATAAAGAATCTAGGTTTTTTTGTTTTTTTTAAAAGTACATATTTGGTCCCTGTAGTTTTGTAAAATAAAAAATAACAGAAAAATAAAAAGTAAATGGTATATTAGTCTTTTACTCAGACTTAACGGCTGAGTCTTAACGACATCCAATTTAAGGAATCAACACTACAAATGTTTGAAATCACAGGGACGCAACCCATCAATTATTCAAAAGTTGGATCAAACTTGTGATTCTAAACAAAGCAGAAGGACCATTTCTATAATTTACTCTATTAATATTTTAAGAGTAAATTACACGAATGTTCCCTATGGTTGGGGGTAATCTGCGTGCTTGGTCCCTAATTATTTTTTTAAACTCGGACAATCCATGTAATGTATCTTTGTTATGAGTTTGGTCCCTGACATACCTAACAAGACTAATTTGCCCTTCTCTATTTCTTTCTTTGTTTTATTTATTGTTTATTTCTTATTTACAGTTAAAAAATGTAACAGCCCAAAAATCACGATAAAATTTTTCATTTTAAAACAAGAGTTACAGCCATGATATTGTTCCAAATACCATCACATAACAATAATGTCAAAATCATCATAGTACAAAATCAAATATGCAGAAAATAGTAAGGAGTGAATGTTGTGCCATCAAGTCGACCCTTCCCCTTAGTACCGGAATTACCTGATACACAAATACAATTTGTAAGCAAAAACTTAGTGCGCTTCCCCAAAGTACCACATACCAATCATAAATAAGATAGTGCTATGGGCCATACCATAATCTTACAAACAAAATTCCTGCCGACGGCCAAATCCCAGTCTTACAAACAGTTGCCAGGGGCCAGATCCTGGTCTTTCATACAATTGTCAGGGGCCAGATCTTGGTCTTTCATACAATTACCAGGGGCCAAATCCTGGTCTTTCATACAATTGTCAGGGGAAAAATCATGGTCTTTCATACATATATCTCAAATATAACTCACAACATATGTCACAAATAATGGGTCGGCCTTGGTGCCTTTGACCATTTATACAGTGAGAAAACTCACCTCAACTGCTGAAAATCCCAGATAAACGCTCGGGCTATTGGACTGGAGAAATCCTCATGCTAAATAAACAATAAAGTCCCAATTAACAGTTGAGTCATAACCCCGACTAAGACTTACAACACTTGCCTAATCTCAAAGGTGGAATGGGCCAAACTAGTCTTTAAAGCCTAATAAATTCCTAGGCCCAAACCCAAGGATCATCCAAGGTCCAAAATGAGTCCATCAACAGAAGTGGCCCTACAGTAAAGAAATCCAAGACTCAACCCTAACAAGCAAGCCCATTGATTTGGGCCCAAAACACATTCCGAGCTGGACTGGGTCGTACGCCCGGCGTACCCACCGGTACGCGGAACATACCCGACTGGAGTGTAAGGGTCGCGGCTAGGGAGGCAGTACGCGCGACGTACAGGAAGCTACGCATGGCGTACGTACCCCCCATGCAATCCATGCAAAAAGTGTCTTAAAGCCTTAAGACCCAACGACCAAAACTCATATCTGAATCAAATAAGACCCTTAAGGTCATAAAGTTGCAAACTTTATGCCATTGCATGGCTACAAGGAGTCCAACTCTAAAACCTAGCTTATTTCACCCCTTTTGACACTCTAACTCTTGAATGGGGACTAAACAAGGTCCAAGATTGCACCTTTATGATTTAAGATGCCTACAAAATGCCTGAAAATGCAACTTGAAGGCTCAGGAGTAGCTCATACTCACCAAGATCTAAACTTTAGGGACAAGAAGGAAGAAACAAGCCTCAACTAGAACTTAATGAAACATAAACCAAGTTTGGAACTTTATACCTCCAAGTGGTGCAAAATGAAGAGGAGATGCTGGATCCAAAATCTTGAGGGCAAAGCTTTCTTCTTGAATAACCTTATTCACAACCAAAAAGCACAAACAATCACTCTAACAAGCTCAAAATGCTCAAAATGAACTAGGGTTTGCTAAGAGGGTCGAGAAAGGAATGGAGGCTGAGGTAGGGGAAGGTGTTGGGGACATAATGAGGTATAAATAGTGCACAAACCCTAATTATTAGGGTTTTGGTCAGAGCCACGTACGCCCAACATACCGGAGTACGCGCAGCGTACTCGCACGGGGCCTTGTACGCTTAGTGTTCCAAGACGTATGCCCCGCGTACTCTAGCAACACTAAAATTCAAGATTTTGACTTTAGGGAGCCTTATGCAACAAAATCCAAACTCAACGGTTCAAAAGCAAACCTGAACATTGTAGATGTTACAACTCTCCCCCACTTGAACTAGCCTTCGCCTTCGAAGTCTGTTGCCTTGAACAAATCAGGGTAGTGCTCCCTCATCTCGTTTTTCGGTTCCCACGTCCACTCGGAGCCCTTTCGGTGCTGCCATTGCTCCTTTACCAGATTCACCACTTTATTACACAAAGACTTAGTTTTCTTGTCGAGAATCGCAATCGGCCTCTCCACGTAGTTCAAGCGCTCATCCACCTGAATGTCATACAACTGTATCATTGCTGAATCATCCGCTACACACTTCCGCAACTGAGACATGTGGAAAGTGTTATGAATCTGGCTGAGATCTTCAGGAAGATCCAGCCGGTATGCAACCCTACCCACACGGGCAGTAATCCTAAAAGGACCAATAAACCGGGGGCCCAGCTTGCCCCGCTTCCGAAACAAGATGACATCTTTCCAAGG